GTTCCTAATATTTGTCATTTAATTGTAAATTTGACACTTGCAACGTTTCAGAATTATCTTCGAATAACTTCTTCAGCTTTTTTATTAATTTGTACGTATTACGCATTTTTTCATATTTCTTTTGTTTTATAGTACTGTATGTTTTAGTTTGTCTTAAGATATTAATTATTTAAAAAAATTATTTATTATTTTTATAATAATGTCCTTTTTTTAGTTTCTTGCTTGAATAATTAAATAAATTAATAATTTTTTGTCTAATTTATAAATATATTTTACTGAAAATATTTTTATTTGAGTTGAATAAAATTACTCATGAAGTAATAATTATATTTAACTTTTTAACAAAAATTTGATCTACATTTCAACACTGTAAGTCTCTAACTCCCGCATCACCGCATTCATTATGTGTATTGACTTGCACCTTCGGCAATTTAGATGATGAAATTGTTGAAGAAAAGAAAATGTTCCAAATAATAATAATAATAATTCATTGGCTCAGGAGGTTTTTTGTTGCTTGCCAGCTTTCTTCAATCTTTAGTTTTGTGCCCATGTTCAAGCCATTCAATAATCCTTGGATAAATTTGTATTAACTCTTTTGGTTTTCATTTATTTCAAATAAAAGTAAAGGAGATAATCATAGCATATAAAATAAGGAAAATCTATTAGCTGGACCATGAAAGTATCAATAAATATATTTTTCAAGAACTTGGATCACTAATTAATTTTTCAAAAATTTAAACAGTTGTCACTTTTTTTTTTATCACAAAAATAATATTTTAATAATTAATTTAGCTTTCCTTTTTGATTTGGTAAAATCTAATTTATCAGCAAGATATTCTTAAAGCTTCGTTTTGTTGCCACATTGACCCTTTCTAAAGACTAATATGGTGACGTTTTGAATCTCAAAAAAGTTAATTTAATAACAAATTAAATTTATAAAAGACTATTTTAGTGATCCAAATCTTTAGGAATTTACTTGATAACACTTCTAGTTTTGGATGAATAATTTTTCTCATTTAGAATAATAATAATAATAATAAACGAAAAAAATCTTAATCAAATGTTGACATAACTTTAGAAGGGAATTAGTTTTTATATTTAATATAAAATAATTATGAACAGTTAATTTTTCAATACTAGATACAATCTCTAGAGAGAGACGTATAGAAAACTTAGTCAAGTAAAATTATAGAAATTTTTAAATATAGAATTAATTATTAACAATTAGTATTAATTAACTTAATTAATGCATTTTTTTTCCTATAAATCAATTCTAGAATTAGATGAGAGGCGCGTTTTGAACTTTTCAGAAGAAAAAAACCTCAAATTTTAGGTGGGTGGCTATAGTTGGGAGCATACAGCTATTTATCTGAAGCTCATATTTGTAAAGCTTTAGAGGTATTTTACTTTTATGTTATTTTTTTTCTTATTAATCTTTTTTGATAGGACACACAACTTGACATGTTGTTTACTCTGACAGTTGTGACTGGTCTTGATAATTCCACGTAAGACACACAATCCTTCACTCAATCTCAATGTTTTCTCAATTATTGTATTGTGATTTATTTAAATTTTTTAATCTATCTTTGACATATTAATCTTTTTTGTATGATTTTTGTCATCTTTACTTGCATCTTCAGAGTTACATGTACATTTTTTCTGTTTTATTTTTCGTTTTAATATATATATATATCACTAGAATATATTATCTTAGTTACGGGTAAAATAATAAAATTTAAATATTAAATAAAAATTAAATTAAATTTTCACTAAATTGAAAAAATGATAATGAAAGTATTTTAAAAATTCATAAAAAATGAAATGTTCTTTTACTTTTCTTTTTTTTTCTTCCTTCCTTCTTTTTTAATCACAAGAAATAAAGTACTTTAATAATACAAATACAATATAGGTTTGATTTTTTTTTTTTAATTATCTTTCATCATAATGCCTCTCAATTTCCCGCTTTTAGTATTCTATCTCATGTTCTTTTAATTTTGTTTGTGTCTTCGTATTATTATGTTTTTATAATTAAATTGTTGTTATTGTTACAACTATAATCCAAACTAATTTGGTGATAACGACACTTTGACTTTTCAAAAGTATTTTTTTATATATAATTTGATTAATGTGTTGACAAGTTTTAGAAAATTTATGACAAAAATATCTTTTTGTAATTTATTTAGTAATTAATATATTTTAAATTTGAAATGTTACATTACATTCAATATGTTAAATTTTGTTTAAAATTTAATCTTTGCGAAGGAAATTGAAAAAAAAAAAAAAAAAAAAGCTAGGATGTCAACCAACCACGTTCTTTCTAACATCTTGAAGTTATTATAATTAATTTTAGTCAAATGTATTGAGTTTTTCTATTTTTGCAAAAATAATTTTTTAAGTAAATCAAATTGTAATTACTTAATAATAATAATAATAATAAACTTGAACATATTGACTATTTCCACAATTGTGACAATTTTTATATAAAAATATTATTAATTTTGACTACTTCTATTTTTATGCATATTTTTTCTTATTTCTACTTTCTTTCTTTTTATTTTATTTTTCTTATTTCTCTCTTCTTCTACCCGATTTACATCCAAAAAATGAAGTTTCAATGAATCATCACCGCTTTTAAAAATATTCTCAAAAATATTTATTTCCAAAAACTATTATTATATTCAATTATTATTGTATTGATTATAATATTTTCAAAGAAAAGTTTCATTTCTATTTTACTTTTTATTATTTCACAAAATGTCTTTGAAAGATCATTCTCAATTTTCAATACCCCATAATATATGTAGAGATTAAATTTGTTTCACAAAGTATAAGTTATTTGTACATTGATATTCACTGTTATAATCATTTTTTATAAAATAAGATATTGAAAAATAAAAATATTTTTCACGTCTAAAGAAAATCGATAATTTTATAGATAATAATAAATGAATATATAACCATTCTTAAAATACAAAATTTAATATCTTTCTTACTTGTCATCAAAATTTTTAAAATACAAATCATACTTTGTGAAGTATCTAATTGTACTATTATCTTTTTAATGAAAAAGCGATTGGTAACAACTGCTACACAATTATCTCTTCATCTTGAGCCCATTAGAATCGTTGCAAAAGAATCGACTGTTTCTTGTTATAAATCTTCACCGAATTAAAATGATAAAATAGAGAAAAAAAAAGGAAAATTTATTATTATTATTATTATTATTATTATTATTATTATTATTATTATTATTATTATTATTATTATTATTATTAATAATGACCAATTTCTAATGGATTTAAAATCATATAAAAATTCAAAATTAACCTTTTAAAATATATAAAAAAAACAAAAATTAAAGATGATAACGATTGAAAATATATTTAAATAAATCTTGTAATTTTAATATGATTATTATCTCTTTTACGTAAGGATAGATAAATTTAGCTTTTGACTTGAAATATAGAGAATTAAAATAAGCACTTTTAACTCAATATATTAAACAAAAAATGCAAGGGAATTGGCAATGATATATTAGCTAACATATGTTAGTATCTGTAATTAAGCTCCCATTACTCTTTTTCTTAGCAGTTACGTGTATATATATATATATATATATGTATATATGTGGGTGTGACTGAGAGGTACTTATACTGCAATTAGTACTAGTAAGCATTTTTTTGGTTTAGATAATCAGTTTATTTTCAGCAGTTGCAAGAATAATTTTTTACTTTTATTTTGTTCATACATAGCAATCACTAAATATTGCTTTATATTCACATTCAAATTGAAAACTCCGGCTCTTCATATATTTATACTTGTTTTGGTTTATCATTCAGCGATTGATCTATATTTTTTGGGAATTAGCCTATAGAAACATAGATTATTGATATTTTTTGTTTCTCTTTCTTAATCACTATGTTTGTTGTATTTTAGTGTAGTAAAACCTGAAGAAAGAGCGTGACTATATCCTTGACATAAGTTCTGCTAAACTTTACTTCTAAATAGTAATATCAATGGAGGAAATAAAGACAACAAGATTGATAAAATCAGCTGCATTCATTATGGTATTAGTGTTCATGTTCTTTCTCCAGATTCTTGTGATACAAGGTAATTCACAAACTCTACATTTCACTGAGTATTTGTAATTGGTTAACAAAATTTAAAAAGGTTATTAAATATATATTTATTTTGAGTTACCATTAATTAAGGATGTATATTGCAACACATTCCTTGAAGGCTATAGTAATGTTATAAGTCTTAAATTGTATAAGTCAAAATAATTGATATTTTTTAGTGAGAGTTGAGTTTAAACAAAAAGTGTTATCCATAAGTGAGATTAAGATGCAATAATGTAGCGAATAATGATAGGTGAATAAAATTGCAAATGTAAGAGAAAAGACTACTAATATGGTACTTAAGTGATAGTGGTAGAATTATCCTATCTTTTTTATTTTTATCCAAATGAACCTATTTTATCTACTAGACCATTTTTTAGGTTGGGCTCTTCATGTACTAATTGAGTTTGATAAAAACAAAATTAAATTACTGGTTCCATTTAATAAACTTCAGTTTTATAATTTTGTTTAAGTTATATTTATTAAATTTAGATATTAATTGTTATTTTTTTCTTTTAAATTTTAAATTTTTTAATCCGATACTCTTGTAATGTCACACATAAATATATTTTATAACAACATCAAAATTTTCTTCTACTAAATGAAGTTAGTTATATAAATCACGTAACATTGTTAAGCTAATTCATTGCATTAAAAAATTTATATTTTCTTTTCAACACAAATTTTTATTAAAATGATTAAACTGATTAAAGTTAAGAGAATTTAGATTTATACAATATTTATAAACTAAAAAACAAAAATAATGATTTCAAAATGAGTTTGATGCTTGTTGTACATGCATGTTTATGGAAACTTCAAGCTTTTGCAGTAAATTAAAAAATATTACATTAAAATATTCATTTTGCCTCTGCAGATGCAACAATGTGGAAAGTGAAACTAAAACACAAGCTATCAATTTCTCAATGGGGCTGGATTTGGGATGCCAATGGTACTGCTACAGTCACTTGTGACCGCTCACATAAAGAATTTGATATATGCACAATGAATGGCCCAACACTTTTGGATCAATCTTCCTCAACTCTCTTTGCTTTGGGCCCCCACACATGGAACCAATCAAACATCTCCATGAAAATCCAACCATACCCACTTAAGAATGACAAGTCAGCAATGTCCTCAGTGAAAGAAATAACACTCACCTCAACTCCACCAAAATCAACTTGTGGTGCCACACACCATAGCCCAGCACTAGTATTCAGTGTGGGTGGGTACACTGGAAACTTTTACCATGACATTAATGAGAACTTCATCTCACTCTTCATCACCATTAATTCTCTATTCCCTAATCAAGATGTGACACTTGTGGTCACAGATGGTACGATTTGGTGGTTCCAAAAGTACGCTGAATTGTTATCAGCGTTTAGTCCACACCACTTGATCATCAACGCAAACAATTTAACCACTAATCATTGCTTTCCTTCAGCAACCATAGGGTTAATAAAACACGGGGCTATTACTATAGACCCAAAATTGTTACCATATCCTAGAACTCTACATGATTTCAGTGCATTCCTAAAAAATACATATACCAAGAGTGACACCCCATCATTGTATTCCAATAAAAGGGGTAAGCCACATCTCACATTAGTGGCAAGAAAAGGTAGTGTGAGTCGTGTGATCTTGAACCAAGAAGAAGTTATTAATGTAGCAAAGGAGATAGGGTTCAATGTGCATGTATTGGAGCCATCAAGAAATGTTTCTATAGCCAATGCTTATAGGTTGATTCACTCTAGCCATGTCATGTTGGGAGTGCATGGTGCAGGCTTGACACATTTTTTGTTCCTTAGGCCAGGCTCGGTGGTAGTACAAGTGGTGCCCATTGGGCTTGAATGGGCTGCGAAAACTTATTATGCAGATCCACCCAAGGTTTTGGGGTTGGAATACATAGAGTACAAGATTGAAGCAAATGAAAGTAGTTTGTTAGAGGAGTATGGTGCTAATAGCTTAGTGATCAAGGACCCAAAAGCTTTTCATCATGGAGAATGGGCTAAGAGACGTGTATATTTGAAGAAACAAAATGTGAAACTTGATATAATTAGGTTTAAGAAGTGCTTGGTCAAAGCTTATGAAAAGGCCAATATATTTATGAATAAAGTCAATTAGACATCTAGTTACATCTTGTTCTAAAAAATGTACTGAAAAGCTAAAATAAAAATGAACACATTAAACTTGTTGCTTCTCTCCTCTCTTTTACTTTTGCGTGTTTAATTTGATTAAAAATATCAATTTAATTGCATGTGTGTTCTCTTAGTTTTATTAATATCACATTTTAAATATACATGTTTCACCTTGGATTTTTGCTTTTTTTTATTATTTTAAATTAGTGCATAACCCGTTGCAAAGTAAATTTGTCATGCTTAATAAATTATTTATTCTATCATACTAAGGATCTATTGATCTATTTGAAAGGACTTTTGAACAATTTATGATTTTGATAAGTTTTTTTATCTAATTTTAATGAGTTTTTTTCATAACTTATTAAAATGAGTTATTTTTATCTTATGCTAAAAAGATATCATTAAATTATGTTATGAGTCATTGTTTTTAAAAATATTTCAAAGAAGTGTTTGAATAAGCAATTATCAAAATATGACTTAAATAATATATTTTTTAAATAAAAGTATTACTTAAATATAATTTATTTTAAAAGAGTTATAATTTTGACACTTTTCTTTCTCCTCCTTGTTTTTCTCGTGGATTACCTATTTTAGTGATTGATTTTCCTTCTCTAGTCACTCTTAATAATGGTCATCTTTTTGCAACTTTTGTAAATGTTAAATGTAACTAACTATGGTGAAAAAATATTGACTACAAATGAGCTCTTACAAAGTTATATAGATTATATTCAAGACAATAATTTAATAGCAAGATAATAAAAAGGAAAAGAAAGTAGAAATTAGTGGGGTAGGATAACGGAAGGAAGAGAATAAGAAGCAAAAAAAGGAGCACAAATGATGGTGAAGGAAAAAAAAAGAGATAATATAAAGAGACGATTATATTTGTTATGTTAATGTGATTTAATAATGAAAAAATTTAAGTAAATCGCGATTATAAAAATAATACTTAGTTGTAATAATATCTTACAAACATGTATGAAATATAATATAGAATGCATATATATAAGATATGTTGAGTTACAAAATATGAGTTGGACTAGTTTTGAAAGAAGGCTCATGAACAACTTTACAGTATGATTATCACAAAATAGATAAATAAATAAAAAAATATAAAATTTAAGAGTTGTCCCAAATCAACAATTGAAAATAAATAAAAAATATAATTAATACAAAATTTAGGAGAAAACAAGTCATCTTATTAAAAGAAAAGATCAACTTATTATTTTCTTCTAAAGTAAAAACAGAAGAAATTAATATAAAAAATTAATGTTTAAATATTTTAGAACAATAAAATAATATTAAATAATAATAAAATCATATATAAAAACCACATAAAAAAATTCATACACCATTCAATAAAATTAAAAAACATAGTTCTTATAAGTGGATAGAATTTTGTTATATCATCCAACAAATCTTCTTACTACTTGATAAAGTAAAAAAAAAACATTTATAAAATAGAAAACATAAAAAATATCAAATAATATCTTAATTTAGTAATTAGGAGAATTTATATACAAAAAATAAACAAATTTAAAATTATTCAACTGAATATATTTATCCAGTATATAAGTTATAAATTTGACTATTTAATATTATAATTTTTTTAAAAATTAAATATAAATTTATAACTTATAATATTTTTTCATTAATGTTGATGAATTAATCAAGGATAATATACATTAAAAATAGATATTTTCATTTTTTTTGTTCTGTCCCATGTTTTTCAGTTTGCAAGTTGCTACATTTTCAGCCGCACTTGTTTCGGTGCTGTAGTTGTCACCTTCGCATGGAGGCATCGTTGCGCTTACATCAACCTCACCATGGAACCAAAGCCATTTCCCATCTTCCTTCCAAAGCCACCATTTTTCTCCTCAAGAACTCTCTTTTCATTAAAGGGTGTCGCTCTCTTCAACTTCGAGCTGCTGCTTCTTCGTTTCCAATAAGGTACTTTTCTTACCCACGCTTCACTTTTTTTCCCGATTGTTTCTATGTTGTTTCTGAAAAATCAATGACGGTGTATGTGTTAATGATATATGTGGGTTTGTAAATGGTATGATAGTGCCCTGAGAGCTACATCGGTGAGTAATGCGTTTCTTCATGAATTTTATGGCTTTCAAAACACGATCACAAGTTATGGCTTTTATTATTATTATTATTATTATTATTATTATTATTATTATTCATTTGGGTATAATGGGATACCAGCAATATCAGTGCACTCATTTGAAGTTGAAAATTGGATATAATCAAATGTGATACCGACAAATCTATTACACTGTCATTGACTCGTTTCTGATCCATCTGTGTTTTGAGACGAAGATACACATAACAGTGTCAGTATATCTAACTAATGGATTTCATTCCATTCTATCATGTTTCAATGAGTTCAAAGGAAAATGTTTGGTGAACACCCTTCCAAGAGAGAGAGAGAGGGGGATACAAGAGAAAAATGTGATAGATATATTATGTGATACGATGTGATAGGATGAAAAGGATGGAGAGGAATGAGGGGTGTCAGATAGATCTTAACACGTTTGAATGTCTAAAAATCGTAATTGAAATCCAAACAGTTCTTATATTTTCAAACCTGTTGTCTCCTGTATTCATTTGTTGTCATTATGTAAGCGTTATGGACGCATACACACACACTTGATGGGTCTGATATAAAATAATTTCTTCAAACTTCCCAGTTTGAGAAAGATCACAATATTCTTGAATATTGTGATAAGAAACAAATATTCCTAAAAATTGAAATTCCATTATGTCATAGGATGATGGGGATTAAGCTTACTAGTATTAAGCAAAGGAATTCTATAATGTAAGCCAAGAGTTGTATTTTTCAACATTGAAGACAGTGCATCCCTGTATGCAACTTTCTGTTAAACATGCTTAGTTAAATATACCTAGCATTTATGGCACTTGCTTTGAACTTGCTGTCTGCAGAGCAGCCAGAGCCTTTCTTTTGGCAAGAAGGCAAAGGTATAAATGATCAAAACTTCTATCCTCTCTCAATGTTTTAAGTTTTTTGTATTGCTGGTGATCAATTTAGTATTATTTCATAATGACTTCATCTTCAAATTGTTGAAGTCCCTGTGTGGGCTCAAGTGAGAGTTGCTTTTATAATACGACAGAAACCTCTTCTCTGTTATGAAAAACAGGACTGGAATCCAGAATTTCAGAAATAAGAAATTGAAACACTATTGTAGAAACTAGAGCAACTTCATTCTTTCCTACCTCCTTGTTATCCTTCCATCTTATATTATCATTTCCTACAAACAAATTTTCTCCTCCTCCCACAGTTCCCTTGCCATCTCAGCATTCAATTATGCTCAAGACCATCAGCATGAAGATTCACCTTTATTTCCTTTTCTGTCATCCTTACCCTGATGTTTTGATCCTTCCCTTCCTTATACCATACACCCGAGAAATGGGATTTTATCACAACAATAGTAATTTAAAGTTTGGGTTCTAACGATTTAATCTTAGAAATGGCTAGTACTTTGCTTCCATGACCCTGTGGATCAACTTTTAACAGTTTCTTTCTGCACAGACATTCAGGTAAAAAGAGGGTGGATGAGAGTAAAAGCTTGACTTTAGACAGCATCAGGCACTCTTTGATTAGGCAGGAGGATAGCATAATATTCAGTCTATTGGAGAGAGCTCAGTATTGTTATAACGCAGATACATATGACAATGATGCATTCTTCATGGATGGTTTTAATGGATCTTTGGTTGAGTACATTGTCTGGGAAACTGAAAAGCTTCATGCACAGGTTAATGCAATTCTGAGACAGTGAAAATATGGAATAGAAAATGGTCATGGTTTAACTATATGCTTGGCTTCCCTTTGGAATTAGGTGGGCAGATACAAAAGCCCAGATGAGCATGCTTTCTTCCCTGAAGACTTACCTAAGCCAATGCTTCCACCTTTGCAGTATCCACAGGTTTTGGAATTCTATTTTTTTTCATGTTACATAAGATAAAACTTCATTTGGTGACTAACCTGTTTCCTTCTTCTAGCCTATCTTAAGTACATGATAACATCTGATATTTCCCTTTTTTTTAGATAGGGTGATCATTGGTTAATGATTGTGGTTGTGCCTACCCATTTTAGTGAGAAAGAGAGGCTGATTACTACCAATTGGCCCATAATATTAGTAGATTAATATGGCATCTAAAGTGAAGCAAATTCAATTATTATTTTGAGCTAACTTGCTGCTGTATAAAATGGGGGCGTCACCTCTTCTATTTAAAATATTTAATTCTTATAATGCTTCAATGAGAAGGTCATGTGTACTTTAGTTTTTTTGTGTTATGGAGACCACTAGTTTATTTTGTCGTCCTTATATTACATGTGAATCATTTGCGCTCCAAAAAAGAAAATGATATTTGCAAATAAAATGTGGATGATATATGTTTACGATTACATCTTCATGCAATCATAAAATCTTATGTAAGGAGAAGAAAAATGGACATAGAATTCAACTTGATTTGCCCTGCAAAGAATTATAGGCCTGCTTTCATGGACCAAATTGAGAGACAATTCACCATGTGGCTATAGATTCACTAAACTTTGGTAGGGTTGCACCATGAGTCTCTTTTTGGATCTAGTCACATGTCAAGCCAAGCCCAAGGAAGACATACAAGCCATTTTATAAGACATAATTTCCTGCATTTTATTATCAATGCCTCTCCACACATTTTAACTGAATTGACTAGGTGACAACAAAAAAAAATTGTTTTTAATTTAGTTTATGCATTATATTTCTGATTGGATTTTGACTATCCTATCTTTCATTTTGCCTTGTACTTGTAACTAGGTTCTGCATCACTGTGCTGATTCCATCAATATAAACAATAAAATTTGGAATGTGTATTTCAAAGATCTCCTCCCAAGATTGGTAAAAGCAGGAGATGATGGTAACTGTGGATCTGCTGCTGTTTGTGACACTCTTTGCTTGCAGGTACTAATTAAGCTCCCTGTGTTATGGAAGATGGTTTATCATTTTCAACAACTTTTTATTAGAAAAATGAGGGTGATAAGATAAGGATTAAACTCTAGACCATTTTGTCATGGAGGCTCTCAACCACTTATGCTGTTATAAATTAATTTTACTACAAGCTCAAGTTGTTAAGCAAATGTCATTCATGAATGATTTTATATTACATCCCTAACAAGTTATAATTAGTCATCTTATTGATGAAGCAATCTTAGGAGTTTCTTTTCCAAATTTTTTTATTTTTCCTAATTTGTTTTTTTATTATTTGGGGTTATTAGTCTTATAAGTGAGCTTGGGATTTTTCTAGTAATATTATAATAGTTCTTGAGCTTATTATAGGACCATTGGGTTTGTAATTTGTATTATATCGTCACACTACATCGATATAATATTGTTATTATAAAGCATTCTTTTCATTTTAGATGCTTCCCTTCATGTATACTTGACTGAGTAACTTAAGTGATTTGTAAGGATCTGTTTTCTTGGTAATAAAAAAGTTTAGGGGGGAGAGGAGGTTGCCCTATTCTAAGGCTTGGGTATGCCACAAGTCTCAAGAAAGACTTGCTAAGGATCTTTTTTTTACTTCCAGAGTTGAAATCTAATGATGCTTAAACACTTTTAACCAATGTATTAATTTGCATGCACAAGAAGCTCACTTCTTTTGAACCATTGTAATTTAGTCATACCTTCTAAATCCTGAATGTAGTAAAGTATGCACTCAAACATTCAGGTCATTGACTCCTAAAATATGTAAATATGAAATTGGATTTGGTTTTTTATATTCTAGCTTTACTTTGTAAAGTTTATAAAGAACAACAGCCAAAAAACTTAACAAAACTCATTCTTGACTCTCTGGATATTTGATATCATAATCATGTTACAGTTGTTTAGTACAATATCATGTTTTTGTTATAATGCTTCAGCACCATTACAGGCTCTCTCAAAAAGAATCCACTATGGAAAATTTGTTGCTGAGGCAAAGTTTCAAGAAGCCCCTTCTGTATATGAAGCTTACATTAAAGAGAAAGTAAACTTCTGCATGTCTGATTCATCCTGTTTTCCCTTGTGACTCTAGATATGGTCATGTTAATTTTCTGACACTGCATTAATCTGCCCACACAGGACCAGAAACGGTTGCTGGAGTTGTTGACATATGAAACTGTGGAGGCATCGGTCAAGAAGAGAGTAGAAATGAAGGCAAGGACATATGGCCAGGTGGTGAAGATCAATGAAACAGGTGATGTAGCTGATCCTGTATATAAAATCAAGCCAAGTTTGATTGCAAATCTTTATGGAGATTGGATAATGCCTCTCACAAAAGAAGTGCAGATAGAATACCTGTTGAGAAGACTTGACTAAACAACCAGATGATCCAAACAGAATTCATTGTAGAGTATTTTTAGTTTACTTGTTAAAAAATCATAAGTAGTATTTTCTATTGAAGTGTTATTGTTGCACTATCAATATGATTTTCAATGCATCTATAATGTGATTTTAAATAAAGCCTTTTTATTTATTGAACCAGTTCTCAAAACTCACAAATTAATGGTTTAATAATTTTTTTGGTAAATGTAAATTTTCACCTTTTAAAAATATTTTAATACTTTTTTTTTATGTTTTTAGTCCTTTTTCTTTTGTTAGTCTCTTAATTTTCTATAGTATATAATAGTAAACAGGGAATAAAAATAAAATAGAGGGGAAGGGCGGGCAATATGGACTTAAAACAAAGATAGGGACTAAATAAAATAAAATAAAATGTACAAGAATTAAAAATAATAAATCAGGACAAAAATAAAAATAAAAAATTCAAAATTTACAACGATCGCAAAAGTTATTTAAGCCTAATTTAATTATATATAACTTCATACCACTAAATTTTAATATGCTAGGTAACTTAACTCTTGTAAAGATATTTTGCCATTGGTATAATTTCAGTGGTGGTACTCAATAATGATGACATGCAGGTAGTTTACTATATATATTGGTGGTGCCAATCAGCACACGGCAAGGGAAGTTGAAATAGAGAACTGATAAGTAGCATTTGTGGGGTAGAAATTGGGACCAAGATACTTGCATTCATCTTTTCTGCATTCATTATTTAATGGTTCATCTTATTTATATGGAGAAAGAAAGATTTTTTATATCAGTGTAGTTTAAAAACTTTTATAGTTAATTTAAATTTTTTATTTAATTTAAATCTAATAGTCAATAAAGTAATAAATTATAAATCATTAAATTTAAAATTGAAAAGTTTAGATTATATGTAATAATTTTTTAAATTTACACTGATGTAAATTTTTTTTGTCTTTTTATATATATAATTTTGTTAAATTTTAAAAATAAAAGTAGAGAGATTAATGCCTGTAGAAATTGGAAGTATGCTAAGCATCACTTAATCATTGTTTTTCGAAGGTACGAAAGCAATATCAATAATGCTCTAAATCTAATTCATCATATGAATAAAAAAAGGGTAAGAAGCTTTAAATGAGTTATGCATAGTTCTCAGACAAAAGCCAAATAAGTCAGCAAACAGCTGGAGAGAACTATAGAAACATGCTTCGATATGTGGCCTATCACCATTTTCTTCCCTATAATGGAAGCTTCGATCACAATGAAAATAAATTTGTCTATGATAGTGCTATGGTCGGTGTTATTAATCTTTTGAGCTGGACAATACTAATTTCTGACCCCACCATGTGTATTGCTACGTATTTTTATTATCACATATTAGTTCACTCTTTTAGAATTCAGATCTTATCATTCATTTGCAATGGTCCCAAAGAATGAAAGGTAAATTTAAGTTGCAAAATTTGGACATTGATTGAATAGTTAATATCTTATGTGGTTTTCTATATATATATATATATATATATATATATACATATATACATATATAACTTTTTTTTCATATATGCATATTTCACAAATGCTATTCATAATTAAATATGACAAGAAAAATTATCAAACTTATATATTTTTTTAAAAGGAGAGAGAGAAAAATGTTTGAAGGATAGAGCATAGAAAAATAAAAGAAGGGTGATTAATGAAAAAATCTCTTATATTGGAGGAATTTAAAAGCACAAACTTAAGAATATTTTAGAAAATTTATAAAATATCTCTTTTTTATCTAAAATTTAAAAAACTAGCCAAAGGTAAGTAAAGTTATTTTTAATAATTTTTATGTATAATTTCATTATTTAAGATTTAAAAAATTCACTTTTATATTATAAATTTGAATTTTTTTAAATAAAAAATTTAAGAGTTATTTTTTTCATTCAGTTATATAACTTTTCTTGCTTTAAACTTTTTTATCTATAATATTTTATTCACTCATAATATTTTCACTGAAATTCAATTTTAATTTAATTTAATTTTTAAAGTTGATACACCACAACAAATTGAAAATATTTTATTTTTTATATAAAAAATTAAAATAATTAACATGTTAATTAATTTTAATTTTTAAAATTTGAATTTTAACACGTCACATTAATAAAGATAATATTTTTAATTTCAATACTTTATTTATATAACTTTTTTTAATTATATAGTCTTTCCTCTTTAATTTTTATTTAATATAATAAAATATTTATTAATAATAAATACATCTCTAATTTTTAAAATTTATTTTATAAAAACTTATTTAAATTTAAAAAATTGTATAATGAATAAAAAAAACTTGTTAGTACACTTTAAATTTTTTTTTAAAATTATTACACGTAAAAACAAATTTTTTGTATTTTATACATCAATATACTAATAAAGGGCATTAAATATTATTAATTACTTAAAAACAACCCTTATCTATTTTGAATACGATAGATTTTTTATGGAAATAAGTTTGTTTTCTTTACCGGTGCACCAAATATAAATAATGAAAATATAAAAATAATAAATAAAGTTAAAGAAAAAAGTTGTTTTTAAATAAGATATTCGATATATGTCAGGCTAATTTATTCATTATTACAACCAATGAATTATTTATTAACTATTTAAAAATAAAAAACAAGTTAATGCTGATTTAAAGGGTACCCTAGATTTTGGCTACGCCTTGGCCGAGTTGATAAAGAAAGAAAACAACAACGCAATCGAAATTGGGATCCCTACACTTCTCCCCAGAAAAGTACAAAGCAAGTGGACATGCGTTCATAAAATCAATTTTTTTTAGATTTGAATTTTATTTTCACACAAAAGCAGAAAACACATTTCAGCATCCCCTGATCCTACCTTGTGGCTTCGTCAACAAAAAAGGGCATCCACACTCCACTTTTTCATAAGAACATATTATTAATAAATATTTTAAAACTATAAATAATACACTTATTTTCATACTTTCTAATAAATTCTAACATAGCTTTTAATAAAATCTTGTTACTCATTAATCCTCTAATCAATAATCTAAAACACTGGTTAACAAATAATCAAAATCTTTTATTTATTTATTAATAAAAAGAATTTGCACTGGATGGGAAAAAGGTGGGGCGAAACGGCGCTTTGAACAGTGTGTGCATCAGCGTACTTTGTCCATTTTTTTGTTGCCAGCTTGACATTCTGAATTCTGATGCAAAGGTGAAGCCTTTATTATCACTTCACTTACCCACTTACACTTTACTGTTCTCTTTCCCTTTTCCTTCCTTTGGGTTGTGTTGTGTTCCAACTCCAACTAGTGAGTAGTGTGAGATTCTCATCTCATTGTTGGTTGCATTGCATTTGCACCCCAAAAGAGTAAAAGGGAAGAAAATGGAGAAAGCTCTCACAAAAGTTAATAGCTTGAAGGTGGGACTGGGAAGCTCTTGGATTACCAAAAAGGCCAAGGAGGAGTTCTCTAACATATCTGAAGATATATCTGTTAGTATATTATTTCTTCATTTTCTTGCATTGCAATTTTCTTCTTCTTCTTAAATGTGGCTTGGCTTATTGTTATACCTTGCTTCTGATCATGATATTGTTTATTACCTTTTGGAGTTTCAGAGATCTGAAAGGTGGCTTGCTTTTTTTGTTTTTTCTGATTATGATTCCCCCAGATTTGAATATAAGTTTTTTCTTCATTTTAGGGTGATTTATTCCCATGAATGAATGATGTAATAGGCATGGCAAGCATGAAAGTTGTGTCTTTGGTGGTATGTGTGAAATGGGGCATGCTTTAAAATTTGCCTTTGTCTTCAAGAAATTTGCTGGGATTTGGGTTTGTGTGGTTTCTTGTAAGCCCGTTTCCTGTGTACTTTGATCCAAGGATAGAGAAGGGGAAATGTGTGAAAGGATATAAGGTTAGAGTTAGACATGGGGAATCAACGAGAATGATTTTCAGTGGCCTTTTTCTGCAAGCGTTTTTGTTTTTCATCCATTGAAATGACTTTTTTTTCGCTGCTTTGGAGGAACAACAAAAATTTAGATATTGGTAAATCATTTATTTGGGGTGGGAAACGGGAAAGTCCCGTTATTTACTGACAGATAACAACATGCCATATGTGAATTTGTCATTAATTGTACATGAATTTGTATGACGCGTAAGGGTAATCCGTGAATTTTACACCAATCAAGAAGATGCATTGAGAAAATTGATAAAATTGAACTACGTTGTAGAGTATTATGTACTCTGGATACAAAGTTGGGCATCAGCTTCAAATCAGTGAGATTTTGATAACTGCTTGTGTGAGCAATCCTGTTTGGTGTTTATCCCTTCAAAATTACTGTGGTCTTTGATGTCACTGCCATGTTTTTGCTCATAAAAAGGTGATCTTTTTGCAGACTTTCTCAAATACCGTTGAGGAAAAGGCTAAATGGATTTTCAACAAACTAAAAGGTAAGAATGGTTTTGACCCTTCATGATCATTTTCCTTTGTGCGTGCTTACAAATATTGTGATAAGAACCTTGAGAGAATCACACTACAAAAGCCAACGGCTGTAGTTGCAAAGCTCAAGGTTTTATAAACTCCACACTAGAATTCCATTCTTCCAATGTGGGACTCAAGTTTTGAGCCCCATACCTTTCAATTGGATCCTAATATAATGACTTCACCCAGTTGGTTGCCAATGACTCCAGATGTTTGTGTTTGACCTGAAGTTGCTTGACTTAGTTAAGTTTCATTCTTTTCCAACACATTGATCTTCTTTCATTGTTTTGATGGAATGTTACATAGCATCAAAATTCACTAAATACATTGAATCAATCAGTTAGAACGGGGATATCAAGTTTATTCTGTTCATTGCATTGACTTGCCATAATAAGTTCTATGTGTAACATATGACCTTCACATTTTGTCCTTTTACTGACTCACTTTCTCCTGCATCTTGAGACCATAGTATCAGTTAGAACTTAGAAAATCTCATCATTAAAATTCCTTTTCTGTCATGCACCTCCGAGTTCCCTCTTCTCCAACCAAGCTGTTGCTTTTCACCTTTTGTGTTTCATGTAATAATATTCATTATATGGTAGTTATGAGTATATTTTTGGTTAAATTTAAGTATTGTAATGACGATTGTACAAGACCAATTAAGTTTCATGGATATAGCAAGTTGTTAGTGAAGTTTACACATGGAAATAACAGTCAAGACAGTGATTATTTGAGGTGTAGATTCTGCCAACAAACTCCGATATCCATGCATTTTATAACCCCTATCCCTTATGGCCTTAATCTCATATCTATTTAGGTACACTAACAAGGTTATAAACCACTGCAATTACTAATAACATCACTGTCTTTCAAACCCCTCCCTTTTTTCATCTTTTCTTTCAATGCTTTTCCTCAGGCAAGCCACTGAAAAGCCTAGCGGATCTCCTCCGAGAGTACAATTTACCTGCAGGGCTATTTCCTCAGAACATAATTTGCTATGAGTTTGATGAAACCAAGGGTAAGCTCATTGTGTACTTGCCATCTACATGTGAGGTCAGCTTCAAGGACTCTTCTGTACTGAAGTATGCGACTCGTGTCAAAGGGGTTCTTACAAGGGGAAAGTTTTCGTCAATAGAGGGAATGAAAACAAAGGTTCTTGTGTGGGTTAAGGTGACAAATGTGGCAGTTGAAGGTTACAAATCTGATAAGTTGTGGTTTACTGCGGGTGTAAAGAAGTCAAGGCCAAAGGATGCATATGATACACCTCGTGATGCTGTCAGAGTATCTGAATTCTGAGTTCACAAATGTTGGTTGGTTATTATTTCATTACTATTTATATTACTATAGAATAGATAGTCTCAATCTAAATTATTGGAAACGTTTACACACAGTAGGTGTACAAGTTAGGATCCTCTTCTCAATATTTATCTATAAATATTGGATGTAATGCACTTTCGGTTATTCATTGTCTCATTGAACGTAAGTCAATTGGCGAGCTGAAATGGGAAATCTAATGGTGCCAGACACGTCGAGACCGTGTCTTTTTTTGTAAACTGGGTTTTAAAAAGTGAGGTTTAGTTTTAAAGAGTAGAAGTGTGCAAGGAACAGCTCTTGTGTGGCTGTTGCATGAATCAAACACACAAAAAATGTCTACTTCCTCCAAAAATTAAGATGTCATTATATTATTTGTTAAAATGTATTTGTAACTGAATTATCCTGTTAAAGATTTGTCAGCATATTAAGTCCTAAAAACTTTTTGTTACCATGTTAATTCATTAATGATATAAAAGAATCACGAACTTTAAACCCTTCAAAGATTTGTCTGCATGGTCTTTCTTAAAGAACGAATGAGGTTATGCTTTTAAAATTTTAATAAATTAATTTGGTAACAATATGATAAATCTGCCCCATGCATGTAATGCACGGAATAGTCGAATGCTGGGATCTACATGGGATTTTTTTTTAATGTGATATAGTGAAACATTGAATTTTGAAACAGAGAAATTCTATCGGCTCTTACGTTGTATGATGCAACTTGGGTTTTGTTTTACCGTCAGATTATAATATTTCTACTACACTTATTTTTAGCTCTCTCGATCACATCATTCATCTTCTTTTTTTTCCTTCTCGTCTTATTTCTCCGTCTTGAAACAAAAATTATACTAACTTTTTCTAGAAATAGTATTTTTCTTTACCATCCTAGGAGTAATAGTTTACAACAGTGCTGCAAGCTAGATGCCCCTCTATCCAAACAGAAATACAAGTACTTGGAAGCATAATTTCAAGAATAAAACTTATATCATTTTTTAGTAACCAGAAAATATAGCAAATTTAGAAGCTATAAAAATTTCCAGATTTCCAATAAATTTCATACAGCTCAATGAATTGAAGGGGGTGTGGATTTTATTTATCATAAATACAAAGGGAAAATTTTTATTAGATAAAAAATTGTAAGAATTGTTACTACAACAGATTAATCTAGCTTCAGCCTTTCTAACTATTTACTAACAAACTGTATTTGAAGCTCGAAGAATCTCATAAAAGGATATAACATTCTCGATAGTCAATAGACCAATAATGCACCATTCCAAGAAATCTGACTTCCTGTTCTGGAGAACTTCTTGGAGAAAATGAATATTGTGCTGCAAACAACCAAATCCATGTACAAGCCTTAATTCGACAATATTATCCAGAGAAAAATAGTTCTTTCATTTTCAATTTTTTTATGTTGCTAAATTATGAATAGTTGTCCAAGGATTTTTTACTTCAGTTTTTTTTCCTGTCCAAATATAGCTGCTAAATATACGATACGTTGAAAATATGTCCCTAATTTAGCAATATCATTTGAAAATAAAGACCAATCTCAACTACTGCAAGTTAAAAAATGTAAGGAAAATTGGTGCGCGTCTAGCTGTTGAATTGTGCATAATATTAAGCAAATTATTTTCACATGGGCTCATATTCAAACAAATTTTTCAAATGCATTGTTTAGACGAAATGACTAATACTTGTCGGGGGGGCATATGGATATATAAAAATGCAGAAATACCTCCACAAATTTCAATTTGAAATCCAGGTTCCCAAAGCGTTGTGCAACTTCATACTCCTCCCGAAGATACTCATATATTTGAGCATACTTCGCATCCCTCCATGCAATTTCTGATCTGATTAATCCATAATAAAACAAGTCTTATTAATGCAGATGCAGAGAACAAGTTCATAAACTGAATTTGCTTACTGTTTGTCTTGGATGAAATGAGTCTAAAAAAATATTTAACATATTTAGGGATATTTTAGTCCTAAATTTTCAATAATGTTAATACATTAGCAGATTCACATTTTTCTAATTCCTAATACGGGGTTGAGAATACCTCTCAAAGAGACCAACTTTAAGAATCACATCAGCCAAATTTGAGTTAGCCTTTCCAACAAGCTGAAGTAGCTTCTTCTTATCCATAGTGAAGGTTCCAGTTTTCTCCATTCCTCGATTTATGCCTGCAAACTCTTCAACTAAACCATCAACCTGATAATCAGAGAAAACAAACATCAAATTTTAAATGGCTTTATTTTAAGGGCTGTCTATGGAAATATGATGCCATTTGGCACATATTACCTGTGAAACAAAATAATCCAGAGCTATGCTTTGTCCCAGAACACTTCCAATTATACGGATACCATCAGTGTCCAATGATCTCAGAACTATGTAATCTGGCCCTCCTTGCATGTCCTCAACTAATAATGGCTTCTCCTTTATTGCATAATCTGATACATAGAACATGTTAAATATATGCAACAGAATTCAGATGAGCTATATGGATTACATAGTTTTTCTGAAGAAATTTACCATCTTTCCTCATCTCTCGAAGTAAACCAGATGCATGCCTCTTAACTAGTTCTAGGTATACTTCGACTTCATGATCCTCAATATTAAACAAAACAGCTGACCCATACTGATATACAACCATGTAACGACAGTTGCTTGCTTTCACGTGAAACCCAGGTCCCTGAATCAAATGCCTTGAGTTGTTCAGATTTTAGTTAAATCAATCATATTGTTATAGTGCACAAGTAATGTAATCTACTTAAACAGATTTTCTCATAATGCAACTCTGGAATTCTGCTTTTAACCAAAGACTAATATTATTTTCCTTTCAGACATATAAGAATGCACTAATTTACTTATCATCGATTATGAATACATTGCTGTTTAAGATGCTGCGCGGGCTACTCAGCACCTACCCTTCCACTCCAAAAAGATAAATTAGGAAAATAACAAAATATGGAACCTGAATTTCCTCCAATCTTACCCTTAACCTTCAAATGCACATAAAAGTTCAGTGATACCAACCGATTGAAAATCTGCCCTTATAATCCCAATCCAATGTCCAGATGTGCACACAGTGCCGAAGAGGAACATCAGCAAGGTATTATGTTAGGTGTTGTATTCTAATAAACCAAGTATGGCAGAAAATAATGTACAGAGTCGAAACATTAAAGAAATGTTATCAAGGTTGTGTCTTCCTATAGAAACATAATAAAGGGTCCCTGTGGAGAAAATTTTAAAAAAATCTTACATTAGAGTCCGAGTTGAAGTCGCAGAACCGTAAAGCAACATAATTTGATGATGAACGGGAAGATGGAGGAACAATGTTTCTTGGATTGTCAGCCTGAATTCCCTTCAAATTTATACTGCCAAAATTATGAATCTGAGACAGCCAAATCATAGAGGACGAGAGCAGGACAACAAAAGGACACGTGAGAGGAAAAGTTTCAACTCCATTCAAATCCAGAATGTATCATTATAAAAAGAACACTAAAAGCCAAGAACACCTCAAAACCTATAAATCACATTCAAGCCTATACGTAACCACTTTTACACACTAAAACGAAATTCTTTTTAAAAAAAATCCTCCAAATTCCAAAACTATTAAATGCAACAAAATCAGAATTGCAAACATAACATAATCTTCTAAATCCAACACTAACCATTAAAACATAATTCATGAGTAACAATTCTAAATCGGACAAAACTTAAGTGTAATAACATTGGTTCTTTAAGTGATGTTCTGCATTAGAGTTTCACCTTGATAACGTGTGTCGACCTTGATTGCATGAACTACTGAGGCAAAACTCTAATTTTTACAGGAGAACAACACAAAAAAATCTACGGTACACCACCTAAAATTTGTCCATTAAAACATAGGACAAAGAGAAACACAAAAGTTGCCCATAACTCATACACACAAATAATAAAGCTATAAATTTTACACATCAAACTGAATAATAATAATAGAGGTGTTGAAACTCCAAATTCCAAATCGAAGGACGAAATTAATAGTACAATTCTCACTTGCACGTATCATGATTTTCTCTTCCAAACCCAACACTAATGGAACAGTAAGAAAAGTGACAAGTAAAAAACAAAACCGAGAAAGGAGATTCTGAGAAGGACCCATTTGCGTGTTAATTAAAGGGAGAAGAAAAATGAAGGAACTTGAAAAAGAGATAGAGGGGGAACCTGGTGGAGAGGAAGTAGGCTTTGACGGGGATTTTGACGGTGGGGTCGTATTGCGGGGCTCTGAATCCGTGGGGATCCGGGTCGGGTATTGCAGAATGTGCAGTGGCAAGGGAGAAAAAACGATTGAGAGAGAAAGGGGAGGGCTTGGAAGATGAAGAGGAAGAAGTTGCTATTCGATTACAGAAAATAGAGAGTGTTCTCCATCTTCCACCCATTCGCTGAGAGGAAGAGCCTCGTCAATGACTCTGCTTCTGACGATTCCTCTATTGCTTTCTGTTATGTCTCTGAATTTGTTTCTTCTTCTCTCTCCTTTCCCCTCGATTTTCACTTTTCTTGCAGGCTCTTCATTTTATAATATCATATATGATTTTAGTTTTAGGGTTCAGTTTCAATATTTCAAAATAATTTTTTTTATCAAATATTATATAGATTCTCAATAATATGTTAGTTCATTACTTTTTATTTCTTTGATGTAGTAAACTGTTATCGAAGTCTCCAAAGTATATTCAAAATCACATATAATACTGAATTAGCATAAACAAAACAAAAATATAATTTTTTAAGTGTTATTTATTAATTAAAATTTTAGTTTTTAAAAATCTAAATTCTTTAGAATAAAAAATCATAAGTTTTTATTTAATTCGCTTTTAATTTAGTTTTTCAAAAGTTATTTTTTTGCTTTTTTTAAAGTTATTTTTATTTTCATCATGTCTATCTATTATGTATTAACTTGATTTATGTTATAAATTATTATATAAGTGGATATCCATATTCATAACTCTTCCTTATTTTTTGTAACTTATGATTTTGTAACTGTTTTATTTAATTCTCATTTAAAAAGATATGATTCTTCAGTTATAATTTTAGGCCTATAAATAGGTGTCTCATTTGTATTGAAGAGATGTGAAATGAAATTGAGATTATCTCTTTCTCTTCATATTCTTCTTTATATTCTTTCTTACAATTTTACCTTCGTTTTGTAATATGTTATCACCAGGAGGCTCTACTACACATTTTTGCAAGAAAGGAACAATCTTGAATAAAGATACGATATTCTTTTATTTTTATTTTTCTTATAGAAATATATCATTATTTATTTTAATTATTGTATATATAAATTTGTGTCTATAAAATATATATATATATATATGTATATATATATATATATAAAAGTAAATTATTAGTAATTTCATATTATTTTATTTTATTTTTTACTTTTGATCGTTATAATATTTAGATGATATCTAACTTATTTTTATTTTTATGATAGTACTAAATATGTCAAATCTTGAATTTGTCGCACTTGATATTACAGGAAAAAATTACTTATCATGGGTATTAGATGCTAAAATTCATTTAGATGCAAAAGGTCTTAGAAATACTATCAAAGAAGAAAATAAAGCATCTAATCAAGATAAGGCTAAAGCTATGATCTTTCTTTGTTATCACCTTCATGAAAGTTTGAAAAATGAATATCTCACAATAAAAGATCCACTTGTGCTTTGGAATAATTTAAAAAGACAGATATGACCACCAAAAAATAGTCATTTTACCAAAAGCTCGTTATGATTGGATGCATTTACGATTGCAAGATTTTAAAACTGTTAGCGAGTATAATTCAACATTATTTAGAATCACATCTCAATTAAAATTGTGTGGAGAAAAGGTCACTGATGAAGATATGTTAGAAAAAACATTCTCCATTTTTCACGCATCTAATGTGCTCCTGCAGCAGCAATATCGTGAAAAAGGATTCAAAAAATATTCTGAATTAATTTCTTGTCTCCTTGTGGCTGAACAAAATAATGAGCTTTTAATGAAAAATCATGAATCTCGTCCAACTGGCATTGCTCCATTCCCAGAAGTGAATGTAACAACTTGTGACTACTATAATTATGCACAAACTTATAGTCGTGGTCGTGGCCGAGGTCATGGACGTAACAATAGTCGTGGTCGTGGTAATGGTTATGGACATGGTCGTGGTGATAATTAGAAATATACATTTTCACACTAGAAGTGGAAAAATGGTGAAAAAATTGAAAAGGGTAAAGCTACTCAAAGTAGCAAAAATATGAAAGACATATGCTATCATTGTGGAAGCAAAGGTTATTGGTCACGTATTTGTCGTACACTAAAGCATCTTATTGATCTTTATCAAGAATCACTTAAAAACAAAAGAAAAAAGATAGAGACAAATTTTATTTGTGAAGATGACAATGATTCTATTTATGATCACATGGACGTTACTCACTTAGATGTTGCTGATTTTTTTGCTGATCCAGATGGAAAAATTGACCATCTCATTGGTGATAGAAGTGTCCAAAAATAAGTTATTATTATTATTGAGTTATTATGGTTTTTTTTTATGCTAATTTATGTTTAATGTATTTTTCTTCTTCTTCTCTTTAAATATGTAAAAAATAAAAAAATAAAAAATTAATAATAATTATGTTTAAAATAAGTTATAGTTGTTCTTTCATTGATATAATTGTTATTTAAATTAAATTTTAATATAGTCATTATAAATAAATTATAATGAATAATAATAAATTTTTACCATCTTTTTGTATCTAATTTATTTATTTATCTATTTTGCTATGAAGAAATATGGACGACACCAACAATCAAGACATTTGTCTTGTTGATAATGCAACAACTTATACAATTCTCAAAAATAAAAAATATTTTTCTCATTTAGTGATGCAACAAGCTAATGTGAGTACTATATCTAGTAGTACAAAAATTATTGAAGGCTCCGGTAGAGCTAATATATTGTTGCCTAGTGGAACAAAATTACACATTGTTAGTGCATTATACTCTACTAAGTCTCATAGAAACTTATTAAGTTTCAAAGATATCCGCAAAAATGGATACCATGTTGAAACAACAAATGAAGGAAGAGAAGAATACATGTATATCACAAAAATTATCTCAAATAAAAAATGTGTGTTAGAAAAATTACCTTCTTTTTCTTCTGGCTTATATTACACACATATAAATATAATTGAAACACACATTATTGTAAACCAGAAGTTTACAAATCATGATAATTTTTTTTATTTGGCATGAACAATTAGGCCATCCTGGATCAATCATGATGCGAAAAATAATTGAAAATTCATGTGAACATTCATTGAAGAGCCAACAGATTCTTCAATCAAATAATTTCTCATGTGTTGCTTGTTCTCAAGGAAAACTAATTAGTCGACCATCACCAGCTAAAATTGAAAATGAATCTATAAGATTTTTAGAACGTATACAAGGTGATATTTGTGGACCAATACACATATCATGTGGACCATTTAGATATTTTATGATTTTGATTGATGCATCAACTAGATGGTCACATGTTTGTTTGTTGTCAACTCGCAACCAAGCGTTTGTGAGATTACTTGCACAAATAATTCGTTTAAGAGCTCATTTTTCTGACTATCTAATTAAGAAAATACGCCTTGATAATGCTGGTGAATTTATATCTCGAGCTTTTAATGATTATTGTATGTCTATTGGGATTGATATTGAGCATCTTGTAGCACACATACATACTCAAAATGGACTTGCTAAATCATTGATCAAGCGTTTAAAATTAATTGCAACACCATTACTAATGAGATCAAAACTTCCAATTTCTACTTGGGGACATGCAATATTGCATGCTGCAACACTTATTCGCATCAGACCAACAAGCTATCATATGTTATCCCCTTTGCAATTAGTTTCTGGTCAACAACCAAATATTTCTCATCTTAGAATTTATGGATGTGCAGTGTATGTTCCTATTGCTCCACCACAACGCACTAAGATTGGTCCTCAAAGAAGGTTAGGAATATATGTTGGCTATGAATCTTTATCTATAATAAAGTATCTTGAGCCAATGACAGGAGATTTATTCACTGCTTGATTTGTTGATTGTCATTTTGATGAATCATTTTTTCTACTTTAGGAGGAGAAAATAAATATTTTGAAAAAGAGATAAGTTGGAATGAATTATCTTTATCTCATCTTGATTCTCGAACAAAACAGTGTGAACTGGAGGTTCAAAAGATAATTCATTTGCAAGGTTTAGCTAACCAACTACCAAATGTGTTTACAAATCCAAAAATAGTGACTAAATTATATGTCCCGGCTGCTAATGCTCTAATCAAAATCAATGTTCCGATTGGACAATCTAATGTTGCAAATCAATCTGAATCATGTATGAAGCATGATAGATCTTTTGGTTCCAAAGATAAAAATCCTCGAAAAAGAAAAGGACCTAAGAATCAACATGACCAAAATGAGGATGTAAAGACTCCAGAAGAGTCATAAGACATAATTAATATTTTAGTTCCCGAAGAAACACATGTACCTGAAAATGATGAAAATAAAGAGATCTCAATAAATTATGTCATGAATAGAATACAATGGAACCAAAATGAAGTCAATATTGATGATATTTTTTCATTTAGTGTAGCATTGGATGTGATAACTGATATAGATGATTATGAACCAAAATCAGTTAACGAGTGTAGACAAAGAAGTGACTGGAAAAAATGGAAAGTTGCAATTGAGGAAGAATTAAAGTCGCTTACAAAGCGTCAAGTTTTTGGACCTATAGTTCATACACCTGAAGATGTAAAGCCAGTCAGATATAAATGGGTTTTTGTGCGAAAACGAAATGAAAATGGTGAAATTGTGAGATATAAAGCACGACTTGTTGCCCAAAGCTTTTTGCAAAGACCTGGTATTGATTTTGAACAAACATATTCACCTGTAGTGGATGCAAATACTTTTCGATACTTGGTCAGTTTAACAGCAAATGAAGGACTCGGTTTGCGATTAATGGATGTTGTTACAACCTATTTGTATGACTTCTTGATAATGACATTTATATGAAACTCCCTGAAGGTTTTAATTTATCAGATGCATACAATTGAAATTCTAGAGAAGGTTATTCAATCGAGTTGAATAAATCACTTTATGGATTGAAATAATCTGGGCGCATGTGGTATAATCGCCTTAGCGAATATTTGTTGAAGGAAGGATATAAAAATGACCCTATTTGTCCATGCATTTTTATAAAAAGATCTTATAATGAATTTGTAATAATTGCTGTTTATGTTGATGATTTAAATATCATTGGAACTCTTGAAGAGATTTCAAAAACAGTAAATTGCTTAAAGAAAGAATTTGAAATGAAGGATCTTGGAAGGACAAAATTTTGTCTTAGATTACAACTTGAATATGTAAAGAATGAAATTTTTATGCATAAAAAAACTTATACTTCAAAAGTGTTAAAACGATTTTATATGGATAAATCACATCCCTTGTATACTCCAATGGTTGTAAGGTCACTAGATGTAAACAAAGATCCTTTCA